ATAGGGCAAAGATCCGACCCTGGCGAACGTTCCGATTGAACGAATGTGCTTGTAACCCTTACAACGCTGATTTCGATGGAGACGAGATGAACTTGCGTAAGTCGAATTGCAGTCTACTCGTTCAATCCTGATTTTGTAGACGTGCCACAGACGGAAGAGGCGAGAACTGAGGCTTTGGAATTAATGTCGGTCAAGAAAAACTTGGTCACGCCGCGTAACGGAGAGCCGATCATCGCAGCTATCCAAGATTTCATCACGGCTTCGTACCTTCTCTCTCGCCGAGATCGGTTCTTCGACCGGGCTCAATTCACCCAAATTGCTTCCTACTTGAGCGACGCGAATGCCAAGATCGATCTGCCTCCGCCTACCATCTGGAAGCCCGTGCGGTTGTGGACCGGCAAACAGATCTTCAACCTCCTCATGCGACCGAACAAGTCGAGCAAGGTCCTCGTCAACTTGGAAGCCAAGTGCAAGACGATGCACGCTCCTCCCAAGGGATACCCGAGCGACATGTCTAGCAACGACGGTTACTTGGTCATTCGAAACTCGGAGATCATGTGCGGTGTGTTTGACAAGAACACTGTTGGAGACGGAAAGAAAAACTCGGTCTTCGGTGTTATTTTGCGAGATTTCGGTACGGAAGAGGCGTCTCTAGCCATGAATCGGCTTGCCAAAGTGGCCGCACGATGGCTTGCGACTCAAGGCTTTTCGCTCGGTATCAACGATGTCATCCCCGGACCCGAACTGCAGAGCCGAAAGCACAACATGGTAGAAGAAGCCTATCTGACCTGCGACGATTACATCGATCAAGCGAAGAAGGGTAAATTGGAGAACGCTCCGGGTTGCGACCAAGAAGCCACTTTGGAACAAAAGATTTCTGGTGCGCTCTCGGCTGTCCGTGGAAACGTCGGAGATGTCTGTATGAAAGAGCTCAGTCGGCACAATGCTCCCCTCATCATGGCTACATGTGGTTCGAAAGGTCAGTGGATGGTCAGAGTTGTGACTCAATTGATTAACGGTCAGGTTCCGTCATCAACGTCGCTCAAATGGTTGCTTGTGTCGGTCAACAAATTATCTCGGGTAGTCGTATCCCGAACGGTTTCCAGGATCGATCGCTCCCGCATTTCCGCAAAAAGTCCAAGAACCCACCTTCGAAAGGTTTTGTCAGAAACAGTTTCTTCTCCGGTCTCACCCCTACGGAATTCCTGTTCCACGCTATTTCTGGTCGTGAGGGTCTGGTCGATACGGCCGTCAAGACTGCCGAAACGGGTTATATGGCTCGACGTCTGATGAAGGCGTTGGAAGACTTGTGCACGCACTACGATTTGTCTGTTAGGAACTCGGTCGGTGGAGTGGTCCAATTCCAATATGGTGACGATATGCTCGACCCGGCTTGTCTGGAAGGAGACGCAACGCCGGTGGAGTATGTGAGGAGTTGGACGCATGCTTGTGTACGTGTCCATCGGTTTTTTGGCAGTGTGGCCGCTGATAAGCAGAAAGTTGCAAAGAGCTCTACACGGGCGTTGTACCCTTACGAGCTGTTTGACATTGTCAAGGACATCTGGCCAGAGGGTACGGGACGCGAGAGTCTGCTCTCAGACGAGGTGAGATATTTCCCAATCATGCCCCTTGAATCCGTACTGAGTATCAGAAATGGAGGAACAAGTGGGAGGGCTGTCACCACAAGTTCCGAGAGAACACGTATCTTTTCATCAAGGAAAAGATCATCCAGCCGATGATCGATCAACGGAACCAGTACAATGTTCCGGATGGATCCGACGCACGACAAGAGGAGGAGTATGATCTGGAGTGCTCTGACCGTGAGCCATGAAAAGTCTCACCTGCGGCTTGTACTGATGACAGCCGTCGTGCAACGGGTATTGGACAACACGCACAAGGTGACTCGAGAGCAGATTGAAGAGTTCCTTGAAATTTGTCGGGTCAAGTATCTCCGAGCCAAGATCGAGCCAGGTGAGTAAGCGAGGACGGGGCAGTCTTGCTGATCATCAGGATCCACAGTCGGAGCCGTCGGAGCGCAGTCTATCGGTGAACCGGGAACGCAAATGACGTTGAAAACTTTCCATTTCGCCGGTGTCGCTTCCATGAACGTCACACTGGGTGTGCCCCGTATCAAAGAGATTATCAACGCTGCCAAGATCATCTCGACCCCGATCATCACTGCCGCGCTCACCAATGCCGAGAGTGAGACCGCTGCCCGGATCGTCAAGGGCCGAGTTGAGAGGACGGTGCTGGGTGATGTAAGTTGGAAGCTCTTGCTGTGGGCTACCCCATTAATGCTCAGATCGCCTCTTGTATCGAGGAAGCTTGGACACCCTCTGGAGCATACATCGAGATTCACATCGACAGAGATGCGATCCGACGCCTCCAGGTGAGTCGAGAGGTCGCAAATGCCATGACCGGGCTAATGATAGCTTGAAATCACCCTCGACTCGATCCGCGAAGCCTTGTGCAAGGCGCCCAAGCTCAAGATCCTGCCAGGGGTAAGTTTGTGCAATAACACCAAGGAGTGACGGCTGATATACAGATGGTGCAAGAGAACGCCAAGCTGTTCCGTGTTCGTATCAACATTGAGGAGCACAGCCAGGCCAAGACGAAGACGGGCCAGAATGCCGAGGGAATTTACGAGCGTCTCAAAGCGCTCAAGCGAGTCTTGCCTCTGATTCAAGTCAAGGGTCTCCCGCAAATCATCCGAGGTGTCATCAGTCGAAACGCAAAGAACGAAAAGCTCTGCGAGATGCTCGTCACGGGATACGGATTGGCAGAAGTCATGGGCACGGATGGTGAGGTTGCCAAGAGGCGTCGCAGCTTGCTGATGGCCAGGTGTCGACGGCAAATTCACCAAGACGAACCACGTCATGGAGACTTGCGAGGTCCTCGGTATCGAGGCAGCTCGACAGACCATTTACAACGAGATTCAACACACGATGCAGTCGCACGGCATGTCGATCGATCCCCGGCACGTCATGTTGTTGGGTGATGTGATGACCTACAAGGGCGAGGTGCTCGGTATCACGCGATTCGGTGTGCAGAAGATGAAGGACTCGGTGCTCATGTTGGCGTCTTTCGAGAAGACCACCGATCACTTGGTGAGCTCGAGCTGTGAAGTCGGGGTTCTAGACTGACACGCAGTTTGACGCCTCGCTGTTCTCGAAGAGAGATGCGATCGAAGGTGTATCAGAGTGTATCATCATGGGCACTCCGGCTCCCGGCTGCGGTACCTCTCTGTGAGTGTTCAGTCGTACATTAAGAGCCTGGTCGCTAACCATCAGCGCATCCATTGTCACGGAAGCGCCCAAGCTCTCGACCAAGAAACCGCTCTTGTTCGAGACCGCTTACAAGTCGGGATTGCTGCAGCGGAATGTCGATGTGGACATGGGCTGGTAGCTGCTACCGTCACTCGCCTTGATACGGCGCGACGGATGGGTCAGGCTTGACCCGAGTTTTCATGTTTTTACGAGGTTTTGGTGCCCATGATTTTTACGTAGCGTATGCATGTATATTCCTGTACTCTTTATTCCGCCCTAAGGCTCTAAGACTCCGGGGGGTCACACGCAACAGTCGGGAGACAAGACACGCCGATCTAAGCCGAGACGGATTGAGGCCCAGAGAGACGTTGGGCAAGTGCGACTCGGACCTTGGCGTACACCTCGTCGACCGAAGGCGACGAATCGACCTCGACAACCTTGCCTTGTTCTCGGTACTCGTCGACAACGGGCATGGAGGTCTCGACGAATGTTCGGAATCGCTTGACGATGGACTCTCTGTTATCGTCTGCTCGGCCAGAGGTCTTGCCCCGCTCGAGCAGGCGGCCGAGCATGACCTCTTCGGTGGTGGAGAAGAAGAGGACGAAGGAGGATTGGCAGACCTGGGGTTAGGGTGGGCGGGGAGGGAGACTAGGAGGGCGCGATGGTGCGATGGTGGAATGAGGATGGCATGAGCAGTCATGTAGCAGCGATAGGCACGCACGGATTGGTCAAACTTGTGCGCCTGGTCGAGCTTTCTCGGGAACCCATCGATCAAGAATCTACCCCGACCGCCCGTCCAGCCCTCGGCGAGGGCAGATCCCTCGGGGAACGAGGGGGGCTTGGCGAGGGCATCCCGCATCGCATTCTCGAGAAGCTGTTGGGTAGGTCAACATTTAGCTGAGGCATTGGACGGGAAGACTCACCTTGACTGTCACCTCCATGGGGACGATCTGACCCTCCTTGATATACGTCTGGATCATCTCGCCATAGGTCGAGCCGGGGCGTTGCTGCTCCGCGCGGAGGAGGTCTCCAGCTGGAGGTTGTCAGTGGCATACTACGTGGGGTATAGAGACGCGTGGACACTACCGGACAGGTGCACAAAGCCATAGTCTCTCACGAGCCTCTCACACTGCGTGCCCTTGCCTGCATGTCAGCTTGTAGGCTCGCTGAGGGACAGTCCAACCTCACCAGCTCCCGGACCGCCCAAGACGAAAATCACAGTGATCTTCTCATGGTCAAATGCGGGCTGCTCAGGCAGCTCGGGAAGCTTGTCGCTGTCCTGAGCGTGACCCATTTGAGCAGCAGCAGGAGGTTGCTGGGACGACGAGTCGGAAGAGTGGACGGCGTTCTTGACCTTATCGATGACAGTCATCGTGAATGGATGTAGTGAGTGGTACGAATAAAAGTCGCAGAAGTGGGAGAAACGGTGACAAGCGTGCATCGTCGGCGTAAATGACGCGCCAGGCATTCAGTGTGGCAGCGTTGCCGTGACTGCTGAACACTGTAGGGAAAGACGGGTGTCCCGAGCCTCGATGGGCTCACAGCTCCACATCAACTACTTCTGCATGCGATCAGTCCTGTCGGCATCCATGTAATACATGAAGGTGACCTGGCGAGCAGGGACGAGGAAGACGGCCGTCCTCGAAGTGAAACAAAATCAGTCCACTGTGATATGTAATATACCATATACATATATATATCACACTTACTCGGACTGAATAACAACAAGTAAACGGGCTTGTGGTCTAGTGGTAGGATGTTCGCTTTGGGTATTACGTCACACGGATGACGTAATCAAAAATAGTGCGAAAGGTCCCGCGTTCAAATCGCGGCTGGCCCCTTTTTGTTTCTTTCTTTTTGTTGGCGCGTTTGGTGCATGTTCTCGCGATTTTTTCTGAATTTCGCCACTCGAGCGGCGCATCGGTGGAATGAGGACCGTTGTTCCCATCCCGTCTTGCCCGATGACGGCAAGTCCTGGGCAATGCATACAGGACTGCGGGATAGTTCAATGGTACTTATAAGAGGGGCAAGTCGCATCGCAGCGATACGCTGTGCCAGACGATGTGTTGTGCGAGACGATGTATTTCTTTTCGAACGGCATTTGGAGAGCGATCGTACTAGAGCGGTTGGCGGTGAAAGGCGTGTCCGAGGCGGGCAACAACCATGAGCCCCCGCTTTGATCTCCACTTCCAAGGGCTCTTGAGGCCAACCCTGGAGGGGTGGGTGGGGGGAGAGGAAGGTACGAGGACCGCGATCTACAGAGTCTGTCCGTCAGGACTCGCATCTTCGTCGCTTGCCTTGCTTTTAAAGTGTTGGTTCTCTACAGGCGGACGTCGTGTTCGAGGCGACCAACCGAGTACGCCCTGACCTGGTCGGAGAGACTGCAGATATACCAAACCGAAGCGCTGTGTGCTCTGCGGGCGCGAGCTTGCCGTCAGTGGTTCAGCTTTATCATCGATAGGTCGATACCCTAGTCGACGGGTGATTGGGGTCACGATCTGACACCGCACTCTCGCCAAGCGGCCGAAGTAAACTCAGACAGCGTGTGATAAGCAGTTCATTCATACGCGTCCGATCGGGACGATATTCTTAGTAGTACAGACCACACAAACGCGAACGTGACCTGGAGACAGCCTCGCCACGTCGCTACCAGCTTCATTCCCTATATCAGACCTTGTCTCCACCGTCCCCCCGGTATCCCGTGCTGCTACCGGCACTCTCTTTCTCTTCGATGCGCGGACAAATCATCGCCGTGACTCGACGACTCAAGTACGTCCCTGTAGGGTGGGATGCCGTGTTTGACTGATACATGGACCGCCGGTGAGATGAGCAGTCGGGTTGGAAGCTTCTTCCCAACCTGTCCTCAGGTTCAGCTGGCTGGCTCGATGCTCCCTCCTGTACCTGGCTCTCGCCATCTGTCACCAAGCCTACGGTCATCCATGCCTCACTCAGGCTCTGTTCCCTCTCCCAGCGACGCCTCCCAGGGAACGGTGTCTCTGCGTCCAGTCATGCTGGTGCGGGATGACTGGCAGTTTAGGAAGGGCCACTCAATCGGGCTCTGTTGCGACCTGTCCCTGATGGGTGTCAAGTAGACCCAGAGGCAGATGGACAGCAGAGGGCTACAAGAGAGCGTGAAAGGTTTCAGAGTCGTGTGGCTACCCTATCCCAACTTGCCCTAGTCTAGGCTAGTGTCACGGAACGTCCCGTCACAACACGGATAAACCCGCACGTGTGCGGCTAAAGTCACGGGTAATCATCAAAAATCAACAGGACACGTGTAGAAAGAATCGACATCAACGCAAGATGCGGAAAATCCTGGAAAGTCAACGAAGAAGCAAAGTCAGCGAAAAGCTAGGAAAATCAGGGGATTTGCGGAGTTTCAAGGAGGATGCTTCCTCAGCGAAACTCCGTGACTTTCAGAGAAACTCCAAGAGGCAGTTGGCAAGAAAGGGGATTAGACGGAATATAAGAAATTTGCGGAAAGTAGATGAGCTTTCCTTGTTATTGCAGTAAATGCCATTTTAGTGCAACCTTTTTTAGAGGTCACTTCGCGACAACGACTTGCTCCAACCTTACAACGGGGATCGACGGGGATCAGGGATCTTCAGAGAGAACCACGGGGTCTTGCGGTAAAGCTTCAACAATCGGTGAGAGCCTTTGGATAGTAACAAGAATCAAGGATCTACAAGTCCGGTGATAGATTTACGTGGAATTTGGGGACACTAGGTATATCTACAAGGTTCGCCAGCATATTTCAGCGGCACTCTGGAGCTCAGGAGCTGAGTCGAAGTCCGGTGACGCTGCGCTCATGACGCAACGGACTTCGCTCGCTCTCCGTTCCATTCCTTGACTCACCTTCATCCCCGACCGAGCTATCCTCGTTCCGCATGAATGATTCTCGTTCATGCATTAGCTCTGTTTCCGTGCAAGAGACGACCTTCGGATCCGACCAACTTGCCCAGCGATGCGCCAACGCGTCGCTCGATGAATAGGGGACAGGCGTTGGTTGATTGATGATCTACGTTGGTCGATGCGGATTCTACGGACATGAGGTTCTTGTCATATAGCTCGCTATGCAAGCTATCTCTTTCCCTCTTTAGCTTCTTCCCAACTTGTCATCTTAACTTAGTTAGACATCTCCTTGCTCCATCTCGTAGCTCTTTCTTTGCATTACTGCCTTTCCGGCCGTTGGCCCTCTCCTATCTCCAGCTCAGCTAGCTCAGTTACAAGCGATCTCCCTTCGCTATTAGCGATCTTCTTCCTTCTCTGCCGAGCGCACTTCAGACGCTCGTCAGCTCATCTTCCTTCACTCCTCAGTGCACCTCCTTGGGGTCACGGCAGTTCTCGCATCCAGCGGAGTGACGTGACAGAGGACAACGTCCCGTCGCAGCGTCACCGAAAGCAGCTGACTATTTTACCACTTCTGTTTAACCAAGACCTATCCAAATGGCCGGCTCACCCAAATGGTTATATACCCGTATGTGATCACGGTTCAATTCTCTCCCGCGGCGACGAATTTAATCGCCCGTCCTAGCTCAGTCTAGGAAACTTCTTGAGGGAACCTTGAGATCGCCAACGGCTCCAAACCCAAAAGGGCGACATCTTATTGACTCTGACTCCCTGTGTCAGTCACATCGCCATCACTTGCTTGTGCGTCTGTGGGCGAGAAATGACAGACTGGCGGGACCGAAGTATCGTTCAAATGTGGTAACGACGTCATGCGCGACTGCAGCGGATGAAAATAGAACACACGTCGCGACGATTCATTACCTCAATCACAACGATCCGAATATCTATTCAACACTCACTATGCCCAATGTCGAAGTCATCGCGTACAACGCCGCTGCGTTACTCTGTTCCTTGTTTCTGCTTGAACGAGGAGCAGACGCGTTCATCGATCACACGGCCTTGTTAGCACGGCGCACAAACATACCCCAATCAGCCATCGCGTTGCTCACTGCAGGTGCCGAATGGGAAGAGGTAAGCGAGACGGAACCGTCAATCCGGTCCAGCGATACTGACTTGTGCAGTTGGTCGTGGTGGTCGTTTCTATAGCAAGACACCGCCCTGGTCTAGCACTCGGCAATGTCGTCGGATCGACGATTGCAAATACCTTGGGCGCGTTCTCTCTTGGGCTGATCTTCTACCGCCCTGCCGACGACGCCGGTACAAATCGATTGTTCGAGAGAAGCTCTGTCATATACAGCGTGGCTTTGCTGCTTATTGCGACGGTCGCAGCTGCGGTCTTGGCGTGGGGAGAGCATATTCACTGGAGAGCGGTCGGATTCGTGTTCATCGCCGTCTTTGGGGTATACATCACTTCTATCTCCTACCTTATCGCCAAGGGATTCGCCAAAGCCCCCGAGGAAATGTCGGACAGCGACTCTGACTCTGACAGCGAACTGGGAGCAGATAGCGACAGTGACGAGGAGAGACCACTGCAGTCAGGGACTATTGGCGGATATGGGAGCATCGACAACCCTTCTACACGGTCAACCGGTCCTTTACTGGACCACCAGCGACCTCCTCACCCGGGTCTTGCGCGTAGGTCCCGGTTCAGGCCGCCAGCCTCTCAGGCTAGGATCCTCATCCGTCACCTCGCTTTCCTGTCTGGTGGCTTCGTAGCTGTCGTCATCAGCGGATACGTCCTCTCCTGCGCAACCTCCAATCTCGTTGACGAAACCGGTATTTCGGACGTCCTAGCAGGAGTAGTTATCCTGTCGATTGCGACAACGATTCCGGAGAAGTTTGTAGCCCTTATGAGCGGGTACAAGGGTCATGCCGATATCCTTCTCGCCAATACCGTCGGGAGCAATATCTTCCTCCTCACGCTCTGCTTAGGGATCACCTGGGCGGCAGCTAGCGGTGACGGTGGTCCAGCGAATGTTTCCACATCGGAGATTGTGGTCATGTTGGGATCGGCGGTACTAATGACCCTGACAGTATTGTTGCAAGGGAGATTTGCTCGCTTCCTCGGCTGGGCGATGCTTGTGTTGTACATTGCTTTCCTTGTTCTCGAGTTCACCTACATACACAAGTTATGAACAGGCGGTGCCTCGTCTGGACGTCCCACTGCCTGCTCTCCAGTCTGCCTAGCGCACAAGAAGTCCCCTAAGGGAGTACCTGCTTCCGCTTCAGCGACCCTTGCTGTCTCACAACGAAGCTTCCTTGCCCCTGTCATGGACCAATGGCAACACTCCCCATTACAACTCCTGTGTCTCACCGCCCGTCCTTGGGGTTACTCATTTGCTCATGGGCGCCGAGCACAGGATGCGCGACTGGTGTCTAAGCCTACGCCCTACTTCACAGGCTCAAGAGGTGTATCTACTTGTCCAATTCGATTAGGTAGACGGTCCGTACAAAGTCTCGACGCTACGACCGACCGCACTCCGTGACACCTCCTGGCGCACCCTCTTGGGGTATCGGCAGATGGGAGAGTACGGAGCGAGGAAGGCAACCATCAAGCATCACCCATTAAGGGTGACACGTAGGCGGGTCCATAGGTCCGGACGCTATTCGGCTCTGACCGTCCCCGTTGAAGTGGGCCCACACCCGCTGAGCGTGTGCGCTTCCTGATTTTCGGGGGGCGCGGGGGGGGGGGAATCCGCGGCGTCTCTCCATTACACCCCTGACGTATGCCGTTGATGTGAAGATGGGACAGATGTGAGCTGATGGTTAACGCCCGGGGAAGCTCAGTCCTAAGGCCCACTGGGAGTTGCTAACTGGTGCTTGGACGACCTCCGCAATCGACAGAGTGGAAGTTCAAACCGTGATTCGAACCCAAAGGGATGATCGAGATCCAATAGTCTTGTGATGACTCCAGGCTCCAGCGAGAGGTGT